TCAATAGGATACGATCGATATGGCACAAAGCCCTCTGTTAGCTAAGGTGGATTTAAATTTGTCCCCTTAGACAAACATTCACCCCAGGTCTACAAGGTCCCCTTTGACAAAGCAACCCATGGCTGCTGACAAGGATCCTTCTGTCAGTTTGGGTCGACTACCTCCTATGAGTAAGTAGACCAGGGGCCATGATGATCTGGGATGACGTAACCATGGGATCTTATCCATTCTCCCACCATCCGCTTTAAGTGAAAGATGGTAAAAATTTCTATTTAAAATATAAAACATTTAATTTTCCAACATCCAAACCTATGCTACTACTATATGCCAGATAACATGTATCTCTACGTATCTGATTGACGACTAGCCTTAATGGAAAGTTCTTTCTCGTTATCGGGAGGGGTAATTAACTATAGGGGCTTGCGCCTATAGAAAACTAGAACTCAGATCATAAAGTCCTCACAAAATGAGGGCGAAATCTCTGGGTAGTGTCTTATCTACAAACCCATCTGCCTTCCAAAATTTACCCCAGAACTTAATTTCGTTAAAACTCCCTCGCCGAAGAATAAGCGATCAAGCAAACGGAGGCCGGGGCCGAATTTTCGGAGTCCACAAAGGCATAGGTGTAGTGATCGAGCTCTTCAGGTTTGCACCGTATATGATGACGAGGAAACTTAGGATGGAAGTGAGGGTGAGGTAGAGGGAGAGATAAAGGAGAAGCTGCATCTGGATCTAATAGAGGTTTCCTTGAACTCTATGGTAAGATTCACTATGAATCATAACATGAAGGTGAAGGAGGAGATAGAGGACAGGAAGGTGGTGATATTGATAGACAATGGGGCTACCCACAATTTCATTTCTACTTAGGTCGTTGATCAACTGTGGGTGAAATTGGTGGATATAGGATATTATAGGGTGATGATGGGTACAGGGAATGTGGAGAAAGACCAGGAGATCTATAGATGAGTGGTGTTGACCATCTAGGTGATTCAAGTGAGGGAGAATTTTCTTCCACTAGAGCTAGGAAGTACTGATGTCATCCTTGGGATGAAGTGGTAGCAGACCTTGGGGGATACCAAGGTCAATTGGGGAGCACTCATGATAGAGTTGACGGTGGATGGGAGAAAGGAGGTGATAAGGGGAGATGCAGGGCTATCCAAAACCATGGTATCTCCCAAAATCATGGCGAGGAGTATACAAGAAGTTGGGGAGGGATTTCTTATGGAGCTACACAGACTGGTGGGAGTTAGATTGGAGGGAGGAGACATACCAATCTCAGTACAACCGTTGATCTAGAAATTTCATGAAGTTTTTCAGCCATCTCAAAGATTTACAGCACCAAGGGAGTAGGAGCACGCTATCACCTTGAGGGAAGGTGTATCAGCCATCAATGTCAGGACCTATGCTATCCTCAATTTCAGAAGGATGAAAGGGAGAAGTTGATTAGAGAAATGTTGGAGACAGGAATTATCAGACCCAGTGTTAGTCTTTTTTTAGCTCAGTATTATTGGTTAAGAAAAAAGATGGTAGCTGAAGGTTTTGTGTGGACTATAGGGCAGTAAATAAAGAGATCGTGCTAGACAAGTTTCCTATACTAGTGATAGATGTGCTGTTGGATGAGTTGAGTGGGGCGGTGATCTGCACCAAAATAGATATGAAGTCAGGATATATCATTAGATCTGAATGAAGAAGAAAGACGTGCCCAAGACTGTTTTCAGAACTCATGAGAGGCATTATGAGCTCCTAGTGATGCCTTTTGGCCTCACTAACGCTCCAGCCACGTTTCAGTCACTCATGAACAAGGTCTTCAGATCCTTTCTCAGCCGATTTATCTTGGTTTTCTTTGATGATATCCTAGTTTATAGCAGGACGAAGGAGCATTGGAGCACTTAAGGAGGGTGTTAGAGGTGTTGCAGGAGCACCAGTTGAGGGCCAACCTAAAAAAATGCTATTTTGCCGAACCTAGTGTTGAATATTTGGGACATATTGTATCTAAAGAGGGGGTGCCAACAAATCAATAAAAAATTGAAGCTATGTTGAGATGGGCAGTGCCTAAGAATTTGAAGGAGCAGAGATGATTCTTAGGACTAACATGATACTACTGGAGGTTCGTGAAGGGGTACAACACCGTAGCATGGCCACTAACAGAGAAGTTGAAGAAGGATGGTTTCCTATGGGGGAGGCAGCCATAACGACATTTGAGAGCTTGAAGAAGGCTATGACTATTGTATCAGTCCTAGCACTACCAGTCTCCACTCAGGTTTTTCCGGTGAAGACAGATGCTTCAGAATATAGATTTAGGGCAATACTAATACATAATTGTCGACCTATTGCCTATTTCAGTCAGGTGTTGACAGCTAGAGGCAGGCTGAAATCAGTTTATGAGCAGGATGGTCATTGTATTAGCAATCCAAAAGTGGCGGCCCTACTTATTAGGTAGGCATTTCATTGCCGAACGGACCAACGTAGCCTACAGTACTTGTTGGAGCAACGGATGATGACAGAGGAGCATCAGAGGTGTATTTCCAAATTGTTGGGATATGATTTTGAAATCCAATACAGGCTAAGAGTGGAGAACAAAGTTTCAGATGCTTTGTCCAGATGTATGGTGGAGTTGCAGGCGATAGTAGTGTTGATCCCGTTGATTTTAGATTGGGAGGCCATCAAGAAGGAGAGTGCCTGGGATGAGGAGTTAGGAAAGATTAGGGTTGATCTACTGAAGGATGGGAGTAACCACTCGAGGTATTCTTTGGAGGGAGAGAGACTTCTATAGCAGGGAAGGTTTGTGATGCCAAAGACATCAGTCCACATTCCATACTTGCTCCAGGGCTTCCATGGAAGTGCTGTTGGGGGTCATTCAAGGGTAGACATACAGGAGACTAGCTTCAAAGCTATACTTGAAGGGGATGCATAAGGATGTGGAGGAGAGGATAGTCAAATGTGAGATATATCAGAGGAATAAGTACATGATTATGTCTTCAAGAGGATTACTACAGCCGTTATCTTTACCAAGTTGGGTATGAGAGGAGGTATCCATGGATTTCATAGATGGGTTACCCTGATCTTAGAGTTCACAGTGATTCTGGTGGTGGTGGACCGATTGAGCAAGTATGCTCATTTCATTTTCCTACAACATGCATACACCATAGTGACAATGGCATCAGCTTTTCTCAGAGAGGTGGTCAGACTGTATGGAGTACCAGATGCTATAGTATCCAATATGGATAAGGTGTTCCTCAGCCATTTCTGGAGGGAGTTGTTTAGTTTATAGGGGACGATATTGAAGAGGAGCATCGCCTACCACCCATAGACGGATGGACAAATAGAAGTGGTCAATAGGAGATTGGAAACATACCAAAGATGCTTTGTGTCAGAGACACCCAAGTTATGGGCCAATGGCTAGCATGGGCTGAGTGTTGGCACTACACCTCTTATCATTGTTTATCTCAGATGATTCCATGCAAGGTGTTGTATGGAAGGGACCCTCCTCATCTGGTGCATTTTGGGCATAGGAGCACACCAGTTTCATCAGTAGAGGAGTATCTGGAGCGAGATTGGGTGCTGGAAGAATTGAAGAGGCATCTATCGAGGGCCCAACAAATTATTAAGAAACATGCTGATGGACATCGAAAGGAAATCCAATTTGAGATAGGGGAAAGTGTATTCTTAAAGCTTCGACCTTACAGGCAGAGAACCGTCTCTAATAGGATAAATAAGAAGCTTGACCCAAAGTATTTTGAGCTATATGAAGTTTTGGAGAAGATCAGAAAAATAGCATATAAGCTAAAATTGCCATCCATAGTAACCATACATCATGTTTTTCATGTCTCACAACTATGAAGGGCAATTGGGGAGCTTGCAACTAGTTTTGAACTACAGTGGCATTAACAGAGGACTTGGAGGTGATGTTGGAACCCTTTGAGTTATAAGGGGTGCGCCACGAAGAGGGAGGGGCAAAAGAAGTGTTGATCAAGTGGAAGGACTTCCAAATTATGAGGCAACATGAGAGCCTTATGAGAAGGTCAAGCATCAGTTACCCTTCTTTCACCTCGAGGACAAGGTAGTTCTTTGGGAGGGTAGTATTGTTAGACAAGTTTAGGCTAAACCGACCTAACCGGCTTAAGGGCCGGCTCTCGTTTATAGGAGGTGGATTAGGCCCAATTAAAGGGGCCCCACTAAAGGCCAATTAGAAAAAGACGGGGGCGGCGCTAGGCATGGGAGGGAAATTTGAATTATGAATTGAATTGGGGAATTATTGTATTAAATAGTAGGAGTTGTTTAGGGTTAGGATTATGCTTTGTTTTGGTTGCTGATTTCCTGAGTTCTTGTCTTTGTGTCTTGGGCCCTAGATTCGTCTAGGGATTGGGAGAGAAAAATCATCCTCTCGAATCGAGTATTGATTGTATCTTTCTTATTTGCTTTCTTTATTTGATTTCCACCTTAAAAGCTACTATTTTACTATGTTTATGTTAGATTTGTGAAGATCTCTCGCTGTTTTCATCAATCTTGTTAAGGTTTACTTGAAATATTCAAGTATTTCCTATCATAGACCTGCAATGCTTTATGGTGCAGAATGTTTTCCATTAAAAGAGAAGCGTAATATTAAGTTAAGTGTCGCAGAGATGAGGATGCTCAGATGGATGAGTGGTTTTACTCTTAGAGGGAGGATACAAAATGAGGATAAACGTGAAAAGGTGGAAGTAGCTCCAATGGAAGATAAGATTAGAGAGAGTCTCCTATTAGATGATTTGGTCACATAAAATGGCTGCCTTTTGATGACTCGGTTAGGAAAGTAGGTGTATTAGATTTGACTTATGTTAAGAAAGGTAGATGTAGACTTAAAAAGACTTGGTTAGAGAATATTAGAAATGACCATTCTTTATTAAATTTTAAGGAGAGTTTAACTTTTAACATGTCACAATGGAGAAAAAGGATTCATGTAGTCGACCCCTTATAGTGGGATAAAGGCTTAATGTTGTTGTTGGTTGTTTTTCATGCAGAATTCTATAGAAACTGAAAAGAAGGGAATCCAGAGGTCTGTCAGGGAGGCATTAAATTCAAAGAAAATTGGCTCTAATAAAGATCAGGATATTGACACGCCTTATTCATTTGGTCATAGTAATAATGATTATGATGATGATGATGATGATGATGATGATGAGGACAAATTTGATGCAAGAATGCGCTCACAAATTCTAAAGAAACGCAGGGAGCTTAGAAACATCGTTTCACATGAAAAATTTTCTACATCTGGTGAAGGTAATTTCTGGCACCATCTAGTCTTCTTACGACTGTATTCTGTGCTACAATTTGTTTTATTTTGTTTGTGTTACATAGGGAAATTTTTTTATTGACTGCTAGTAAAACATCCTACATAGTTTTTAAGATGTGTTCATCTAGTACCTTCTTTTTTTCCATTTAACTGAAAAGTTAAACTTATGATAAATGTATCTGGTGCTTAATGCTATATCAGGAAAATACAGTTTTGATTTCCTGAACATGAACTCTTTTATTAAATTATAATTAAGTTTGTAATCTCAAACATTTCTTCTTACACACATTATTTGATTGATATAATTTTGATTATGTTCCTCATTGTTAGTGTTGTATGAATATTTTTTGTTTTTTTACTAAAGATATCTCCAAATGTTTTTATTAATTGTAAGTAAGACATGGACGATGATAGGTAAGCACGCCATGCGACCAATCTGAATAGGGCACAGGACCACTTACAAATTGAATTTCATGTCTAGCCAAGAAATAATCAACATAAAGCAGGCACAGTTCACTCGAATCTATGATTAGTTGCTTGTATATATTTGATATTGCTCATAATGAATGAGAAAACAAGAAATATGTGCCTTCTTTTTTCCCTTGAGAAACTTATAAGGCTAATTTGTTTGAGTAATTTTATTTTATTTTTTTATTTATTTTTTTTACATTGCTACATGTTTAAAGGTGAATCATGCATTGCGGCCGAGATAATTTTTTTTTTGGATGAACTGCAATTTGCATTAATTCAAGGAAAAAATATACTCTAAAGTGATAGCTATCCAATCGCACTTATTCTTGAACAAAGAAAATAGTGTTGAAGGAAGGTTATTTACTAAGACATCATCCCAAAGGAAATTTCCAAACAATTCATTGGAGGCACAAAAAACCGAGCGATCTTATTTGGATGGTGGGTTATTGCGATTTAAATTGCACATTCAAGGGTGAAGGCTCATTTTAAATATTTGCACCCTGATAATTGTAGAAATATACCGTTTTACTCATTTAGTCCCCCTTCTTAGATTATGAACCTTCAGATAATTGCTTCAGACTTTTCTTTAATTAACAGGTCCTTCGTTCCTATTTCTACTTATTTTTCTCTCCGAGCTGACATATAATACCAATTAATCCATTTTGTATTCTATACACCCACATCAGTTATCTGCTTAAAACCAAATTTCTACTTAAAATACAAATAAAAAGAAAAAAAAGGACCGAATTATGATTTTCAATATGAATTAAAAGTTTTTAACTTTGCTATTTCTTCATTGTTAAGTTTTGTAACTATAATAGTATTTGTGTCGTGCAACTATTGTCCATGCCTGCTCTACTTGGCCTAGGCTCGTGGCTCACATCCTGCTCACTGACATAAAGTTTAACAAAATATTTTAACCTTTAATTTTTTTGAAGATGTCTTATTTTACATGCCTGCAAGGGATTTTCTTAGAATACGCTGCTCAGATAGGCTGGTCTATATGAGTACTCTTTGATGTTTGCTCGCTTTCTTGCATTCCATCTTATTCTTTGAATAGTTAACTAATCTATGTACTTATTATTTTTTATGGAAGGTAAATCCACTAAAAATGACAGTGTGCGGTCTCCAAGGTATAGCTTCTAATCTCAGCATGTGGTCATTTTGTTTGAGCTATTTAACATTATTTAGTTAAATGTGATGGTCTTCATCTTTCCTAACTCTTTCTCATGTTACTTTCTGCATTCATTTTATTTTTGTGTTTCATGTTATGATATTAGTGTTGGACATTATTGTTGATGGTTGGTAATAATTTTCTGACTCAGCTCTGGACGCATATGGGAATCCATGCAATATTTATTCTAAGCTGAGCATGTTGATCTTTAAAGAATGTTTGAAGCTTCTTAACACATTTTGTAATTATTATCTGTTTCCATTATGTCGTTTTCAACAATCTATTTCTATAATTCAGCTGATCGTTTAAATTTTCTTTATAGATTATAAATTAGATTAAGTTTTTTAATTGTATTATGTTGCAACGTCTTAAACTCTTTAATGTAAATAGATCTTGAATGAAGGTGTTTAGTTCTTCGGGACTTTGGGAATTTTTTTTTTTTTTTTTGAACTTTTAACATTAAATATAGTAAGATAAGTTTTCAGTCTATTTATTTGGAAACAATCTCCTAGTTTAATGAGATTTTACATGCAAAGTGTTTAATGTGGAAACCCTTTTTACTGGGTTGACCTTCCAATGTATGCCCTAATGATGTAACTAGAGTCTGACTTATGTTTTTATTCGAATTGATTAACTGAAGTCTTCTCTTTTTCTCTTCCCTCTCCCCTTTCTCCCCCCTCAACTTATAGACACCCCTCCCCCTCCTTGTGTGCATTTCTTTGAGCATGTGCTCACGCATGCATGCTCATGTATGTTTGTGTCATTGTGTGTCAGGCTATGCCTAACTCTAACATAAGATTTTGCTTCAGCATAATATTATATTCTTTGACATTTAAGGGCTTTTCTTGACCTTATAAATTATGTCATGTGTATGGGTTAAATTTCATTAAATTAGAATTAGAATAGAAACTTGGAATATATGTTCTCTTATAGACAAATTAATGCAATTAATAGATATTATGATTCATGAGAAAATAAATATTCTATGTATTCAGGAAATTAAATGGGTTGGAGAGAAGGCTAAGGAGACTGATAGTTTAGGATCTAAATTATGGTATTTAGATAAGAGTCGTATTAAAAATGATCTAGGTGTGATTATAGATAAGAGTTTGAATGATAATGTTGTAGAAATTAATATAATTGGAGAGATTATAGCTTTAATGATTATTGTTAATGCTAAGATTATTAATATTAATGTGGTTATGCTCCTCAAGTAGATTTGAATATGCATTCAAAATAAAAATTTTAGAATGATTTAGTAGAATTAATATAAAATATACCTCTTGAAGAAAGAGTTTTTATTGAAGGTGATTTGAATAGATATATTGGTAGAGAGGTAGAAGAATTTAAAAAATTCATAGTGGCTATGATTTTGGAGCGACTAATGTCGGTGGTAGGACTATATTAGATTTTTCTCAAGCTTATGATTTTATAATTGCTAACATCTTATTTAATAAAAAAGAGAAGCATCTTATCACTTATAAGAATGTATTTAGTAAAATTTAGATTGATTATTTTTTCACAAGAAAATAAATTGTTTAGATAACAAAGATTACAAAATTATTCCAAATGAAAGTTTATGTACTCAGCCTCGCTTATTAATTTTGAACTATAAGATAAATGGGCAGAATATAAAAATAAGTAAAAATATTGTCCTACGATTAGATGAGACCATTTAAACAACACTAACAAAAATATTTTTGAGAGCAAGATTCAAGATCTTAAGATTTTGACTGTATATGAGGAAGTTAATATTATATGAGAAAAAGTAGCTAGTTATATTAAAAATATTGCAAAGGATGTGCTTGGAGTATAAAAAGGAAAAACTTCTAATAGTAAAAATAGTTGGTGGTGGAATTAAATTGTGGAAGAAAAGACAAAAAATAAAAATAAAAAACTTTATTATAAAAATTGTTTTAGGGGTACAAATTTAGAAAATTGGGAAAGATATAAGGAGGCTTGTAAAAAGTTAAAAAAAGAGATATGTGATGCAAAGAAATTATCTTTTAATGATTTATATAATATAATAGATATTAAGAAGGGCGAATGATTTATATGTATAAGTTAGCCAAGCAAAGAGATATGAGAAATAATGATTTACTTCAAGTGAAGTGCATTAAGGATGAAGATAAAAAAATGCTTTTAATAGTAAATGATACTCAATAAAGGTGGATGAGATATTTTGATAAGCTTTTCAATGAAGATTGTGAGAATACAATTGACTTTAGTGACATTAACAACCTAAATGAAAATATATATTTTTCTTTTTATCGACGTATTTGTAAAAATCAAAGTTAGAGAGGCTTAAAAAAATGAAGTGTGAAAAAATTTTTGGACCAGATGATATTCTAATAAAAGTGTGAAAATGTTTAGGAGATGAAATTTCTTGATATTCAATGCTATTTTGAAGACTAAAAAGATGTCGGATGAGTGGATTACTTTATTGATTCTTATTTTTAAGAATAAAGATGATGCATAAGATTATGTGAATTATAGCGAAATTAAGTTAATATGTTATATTTTACAACTATGAGAGAGAGTTATTGAGCCTAGGTTGCAACATAATACTAATGTTTCTCAAAACCAATTTGGATTTATGAATGAGAAATTGTCCCCATGATACTTCAAACCTTATGAGGTTGTAGAGCACATTGAAGGAGTAATCTATCGATTGAGACTACCACCTTCCTCAACATTTCATCTCAGCTATCATGTCTCACACCTGAGGAAGGTGATAAGAGATCACACACGATCTTTACCTTGAGGACAAGTTGCATCTTTGTGGGGATTGTATTGTTCCCAAGAAGGATTTAATTCTATATATTAGAAAGACAAATAAAGGAAGAGATTTAGGAAGGTTTTAATAATTATTGAGAGGGAATTATTTAGAGAAAGAGTTCAAAATTGAGAGGGAATTAATTAACAAAAGGAGGCTGATTTGGGAGGGACATAGGGGAGCTTATTTAGGACTATGCATTATTTTCAGATTATGCAATTGTTCTTTTTGCTGTACCTTTTCTTTGAGAGTTTCTTAATAGCTTCGATGGTCTGTGGTAGAGCCGATCTACCTCTCGAATAGTAAATCAATTGTATATTTCCTTATTGTTGAACTATTAATCAAAATCAGCCCTAATATTTGTGTTATAGCAATTTTTTTCTCTATTTTGTTGTGTTTACTTCGAAATCACATTAGATTACCTCAAGGATCAACTTTAAGCCCATATCTTTATTTCTTTAGTCATGGATCTTCTTACTAGACATTTGCAAGAGGATGTACCTTGGTATATGGTTTTTGTTGATGATATTCTTCTTGTTGATAAGACTAGAGAGGGAGTTGAAGGTAAACTTGAACTATGGAGGTTAACCATAGAGTCTAAAGGTTTTCATTTGAATACACCTAAAATAGAATACATGGAGTGTAATTTAGTAGTAATAGATATGATTGGGGGAGTCGTGACTTTTGACGATCAAGTCATTAATAAGAATATGCATTTTAGATATATCGGGTCTATTGTTCAGAGTGATGGTGGAATAGATGGGGATATTATTAGTAGAATTCAAGTTGGATGGTTAAAGTGGAGGAATGCATTGGGCCTACTGTGTGATAGAAAAGTACCCCTTCAAATTTAAGGGAAATTTCTTTAAGATGGTGGTGAGATTTGTAATGCTTTATGGCGCAGATTATTATCCATTAAAAGAGAAGCATAAAATTATTTTAAGCGTTGCATAGATGAGGATTCTTGGGTGGATGAATGACTTTTCTCTTAGAGACAGAATGCAAAATGCACATATATCTGAAAGGTTGGAGTAGCTCTAGTGGCAGATAAGATTAGAGAGAGCTTCCTTAGATGGTTTGGTCACATAAAACATTGGCCTTCCGATGACCCAATTAGGAGAGTAGATATATTAGATTTGGCTTATGTTAAGAAATGTAGAGGTAGACTTAAAAAGATTTGATTAGAAAATATTAGAAATGACTTTTTTTAATAGATTTAAATGAGAATTTGACTTGTAATAGGACACAATGGAGAAAAAGGATTCATGTAGCTGACCTCACGTAATGGGATTTTGTTGTTGTTTGTATGCGTTAAATTCTGATTGTACCATGGATAAAATTTTCCGATGATATATATATATATATATATATATATATATATATACACACAATTTTGTTGCTCTTTCTCAAATATTAAGATTTATAGAACAATTGTGAATATCCATATATTATTTGCTTATATTTGGTCAATAGAAGTTTAGAATTGTGGGAATTATTAGTATAGCATGATACTTGGTCTATAAATGTTTAGAATTATGGGAATTGTTAGGGTGTCTAACTTGTGAATCTAACAACGAGGCTATGAGATAGAGTAATGGGTGTGTGCTAATGAAGATTTGCGTGAATAATTCATATGATATTGAAGTATTAATTTGAATTTTTCGCTAGAAAGATCTATTATGAAGATGATTTTGTGCTAAAGTAATTAATAAAAAATTATATAATACAAAGAAAGAAGCTTAATAAGTCTTTGATCAATGTTTAAAATTGCGTATTCGGGTATTGATGCGTTTTTTATTCGTGAGGCGAGGCGTAAGCATCAAAGTTAAAAGATTGCATAAATATAAAATGATAAATTTTTTATATACTAATGAGTGAATAATATAAAACATTAAAAAAACATAAGAAATGAAGTGAAATCAAAATATCCCAATAATAAGACAACATGAAATATAGTTCTCAACTCAAAATTCTATCTTTCCCAAATCCCAGTATTCTTTTCATTAACATATAATTCCAATTTCCAAAAATAAATAGCAATGACATATCACATAAGAACTCATAAGTCATTAGCATTGTCATCACTAAGGGGTTATTCATTTGAATCATCATTATGATGAATTCCTCTCTCACCTTCCTCCTCTCCTATAGAGTCCAATGTCGGGCATTTACTTCAAGATTTATATAAGTTTTAATATATATAGCGTGAGGCATAAGCCTCATGCCAGTGAGGCGAGGCGGGCCTCAACCAAGTTGAGGCGCAAGCCTCATAAAAAAACTCGAGGCGTAAGCATTGAGACATTTTTTACTAGAATTGCGCATAGGCGGGCCTCAAGGCGAGCCTCATATTGCGCAATTTTAAACCATGGCTTTGATTGATCTTGGCATTTGATCAAATACCGCAATAATTGATTTAGTAAGAATGGATTAAAGAATTGTCAAATATATATTTAAGTTACTAAGAATATGTATTGTGGATCATTGAATAGAATTAGTATTAGCTGTGGAGTTAACTAAAAAGTTCTCAATTGTAACACATTATATCAAAAACCAGCATTTAGTTTGTTGAATTTTGTATTTGAAATAGCAATGCTTATCCATAATATTCAAAGGGAAGTATCTTATTGTATATTACTTATTGGTGATATAGTTTTAACTGGTGAGCCTCTATCAAAATGAATGGTGTTAAAATGCGTTAGGAACCTTGTAGGTGTTATTGTTGCCTAACATCTGTGATTCATGGCACAATCCTTAGCACGTACTCAAGCGAAGCGAGGTGTTACTCAATAAATCTATTTCACTTGAGAAAGACTTCTGGAAAGTATCAATTATAAGGATCAAATTAAACTATGTTAGCTAAAATAATAAATTTTAAAGTTTTGTTGCATTCTAAGATTTAAAATTTAGAAATTATGTCATATTAAACAAACTATCCATAAAAAATATTTTCAAATAAATTGATTAATCAAACTACTTAACATTGAAGCATGCATAACTTAAATGAAAATAAAATCTTAAAAATTATTTTTTCTGCTTGAATCTTTATCCATATTTTCTTATTACTGAACCTGTCACCCGCTTCATCCTTAACATTTGATGCCCTGAACGTGCAACACAATTGCTCCAAGTCATTTTGTAATCTGCATTCGAACTTCTGACTCTCTTTTTAGATCACCTTGTGTGCATTGTCATTTCAAAACTTAACTCATCCTTCTACTTGAAGTTTACTTCCTTCATCTCTGTTCAAGTAAAGATGCCTTAGCACCCATTCGAGGGCCCAACTTTCTTTCTCTTTTTAATCCTTTCTCCTGTTGATGTCTGCATGCTTGTCTTTTGCATAAAAATTCTGAGATAACTAGTTTTAAAAGATTTAGATTCAACTTTGTTATAATTTTATGTCTATTTGGTTAATATGGGAGTTAGAAGCTTTTTGGCATGCTTTATAGACATCATCTGTATCCTTCTCCTTTGTTTTTAAGCAGGGTAGATAATGATCGTGATCATTATGCTGGCCCAACATCCAAGGTTGAAAAGCTTGCCTTAAAGAAAAAGGGCATGGGGTCAGAAGCTAGAGCTGAACAAATAGCTCAAGCATACTCTGATTTACAACTGCTATCTCATGGTGAGCAGGAAAGGCAGATACAGAAACAGAAGAAGCGTCGAAATCAGGGTCGTGAGGAAGATGTATGGAAACCTTTGACATGTCTTCTAATAAATTTTACAAGGAGTTTTGATTATCATTCTTCAGTTTAAACTACGGTTAAAATGCTTTATTTCCTAAAGAAATACGTTTTAAGATTTATGCAAATTCTATCATAGAGTTTGTGTCAATCTAGCTATTTCATTTTACAGCAAATGCCTAGTTTTTTGTTTCTTTGTTGTAATGTTGTTCATAGAAGAATGTTAACATTAGCAAGGCTAGAGAAATTTCGTAAATTTAATAACAATGTCTTTAATTTTTTTTTTTTTTTTTGGTGTTAATAATATTATTAGAGCCTGCTCTAAATTTTCTTTTAATGATTTATTCATGCTAGACGCTGGCAAAGCTAGAGAAATTCAAGCAATCTTTAGCTGACAAGCTCTCTGCACCTGCACGAAGTAACTTAAACGACAATGATGCAGATGAATCAGGATGGCTTTCCAATCAGTTAAAGTTTTCTCCTGATCATTCTGACGGAAAGGTAGTTTACTAGTATCATATCTTATTCTTTGACATCTGTAGTCAATTTTATAATTTTTAAATGAAAACATATTTTTATTACAATGAAGCTTAAAAACTCTTTCAGGATGCAATGGCTCGGAAGAATGATCCTAATGAATATGTGGTGCATGATCCTCTTCTAGAAAAAGGCAAAGAAAAGTTCAACAAGATGCAAGCTAAGCTTAAGCGGCGTGAGCGAGAGTGGGCTGGCAAATCCCTAACTTGATTGTTTTTAGCATGTGCGTTTGCACAATGATTTAGAACTAGTAATCCTCAATATCTTGCACATGTTTCTTTTTCCACACTGTTAATCTTTTGTTACCTGATTCGGCCATGCCGAGGTACTGATTTCTTAAATTCAAGGTCTCGATTTATTTAATTCGGTAGGCAAGCAATGAAATTCTGCAGTTCTGATCTTAAATTTTGATGGATGCTTTTTCTATTTCCATCTAAGTTGGTTGCTTGCTTTATATAGATATGCCAATTTTTTCTGCGCTTATTTGTGGTAGAAGCAAATTTCTGCCTTCCGTGTTATGTATAATTCTGCTTTTTAATCAGTATTGTGATTGGCTTTTTAATCAGTATTGTTCCATCACGATCCTACCTTCACCGTTGAAAAAGCAGGATTTATTCCATGGTTGATTTATGATCTGTTTGTTGTTACTGAAGCACAATTTCTTTGGTCACGTTTATTTAGGCACTGCAATTCTTCAATCACCCTTTGGCCACTGCTTTATGAAAACATTTCATATATTATCCTTTTCCCGCAAACCATATCCTAATCTATCATACCAAATTTCCTTAGTTTCGTCAATTCATTTTAATGCTGTAAGAGTACCCAATAAAAAAAAAAAAAAGATCATTTTACTTTACACAGGTTATATGCCTGTATAAGTTAATTTGAGTTAAAGCTTAAAGCTTAAAATTTATTTCTCCTGTGTATCTTTAGTCATTTTTATTTTTATTGATGCTAATATACTTTTTGTTTAGATCCTTTGTATATGTATGATAATTCTAACCTAGACCAAATGGGTGAAGCGTCCTTTTCTTTGTAGAAACAATCTATTTGTTTACGCAGAAACACACATCTATTTCAAATATGATAGACAAACAAATTAGTAAGAAAGATTGAATGCCATAGGTAGATTTCAGCATTTCTATATTTCGACTGAAACAGTAGCTTGCGTCTTTAAGAGAGGATAGGAATTGATCTAGTATAAACAAGGCGCCTGGGCATACAAACAAACAGGTCAAAATAAAATTTTCCTGAAATCTAAGTACACTCAATCTCACCACAAATAGGAGTCCCGGATTTCTCAAGCCAAACAATTATAAATAATTTTAATATCTCGTAGAAATCCATGTTTAAAATTGTGCAATACGAGATACACCTCACTGCAATTTGGACAAAAAATGCAGTGAGGTACACGCTATGTGCTTATGTTGTGAAGCGCATTCCTCATTTTGGCTGATGTGCACCTTGCTTCACTGTCATGAGGCGTATGCCTCAGGAATTTATTTTTTTATATAAAAACTTAAAGCCAAAGGCTAAATCGACCTCTTCATTTCTTTGTTGCTATTCGAATTTGCTTGTTTTTGGTCCTTGCACTCATTCTTTAGCCCTAGGCCCATCTACAGTTTGTTTTTCCTCTTGCGTTGCTGCTTTGGCTTCGTTTGAAGTAGCATTCCTAAAGAGTCGCTTAATGAAGCTTCTCCACCTTCGATGATGATGTCGTTGTTTCTATTGGATCGGAAGTCGCGATGGCTGCTCGCCCCAAAAGTAACGATATTTATCCCCTTTCATGCACTTCTTCCCGTAAATCTACCGAAATATCATATTTACAAAATTCGGGATTTAGGACAAAATTGTTGAGAACGCTGTTAAGTGTAGCTTAGTCTTATTGTGAGATTTAACTTTGCATTTTTTGGCATTTGGCAGGATTTAGCTTCTCCATTTCTTTGATGCTATTCAAGTTCACCTGCTTCTCCACCTCACTCACAGCATTGTTGTTCAACTCCACCTATTTCTTTGCCTGCTCGCTCGCTGTGAAGGTAACGATCTTGAACCCCTTTTGCTCGTTATCTGCAAATTTTGAGAGCCTTTGTAATATCTTTTTACAAGTATAATGTACTAACTAAAAAAAAATGTTAAAAGCACCTACCTCTACTTCAATTATTTTATGTATATTTTGGTTAAGCATTCTCTTGGGATGATACATATCAGCAATGTTCAGGGATAAAAAATAAAGCTTTTATGTGGTTCGGTGATCAATCCTTTAACATGCACGGCTTTCACTATATAGAAAATGGTACAATTACGATATCACATTAAACAGTTAAGGCTAAGATTGCCAATAGAGTGGAAATTACATATTTAACATTTAAATGTTCTTAAAGAATATATCACATAATATTCCATGGAGTTAGTTGTATAGAATGAGTCTATCGTAGGAATTATGTTCTGTAGAACTTCAATGCTGTGGTGATGACTGTTGTGACATATTCTTTGGCTGAATTTATGTAGTTTATTTTAGTTTCACTTCTACTTGTGTATATTCTTCACCATCTCTTCTACTTGTGTATATTCTTCACCATTTAACTCATTGGCTTGAGTTAGCAACTTGTGTATATTCTTCTGATCTCCCTAGAGAATGCATGCATTTTAACTTTTCTGTAATATCAAATACTTGTACACAAAATTTCATGAAGGCATCTAGCAGCTAGGGCTGACCTAAGCGATGGGGTTGAGCCTACTCTTCCTGAGCTGTTTGTGGCTATTTTGCTGTCTGATTTTACTTAGAAAATTGGACTTAAATTTTAATTATCAAACTTCAAAAATTTTTATTAACTTAATTTTTTTTGTTCTCAAATTGTTATTATAGGGTTGTTTAGAGGATGGTTAGAGGCATGCCGCGTCATAGGAAAGACATGACATGGAAAAATAACAGTCAAGTTGATGTGGGAGGTGGCGATGAGACGTGTGTGCATTTGAAATGTGATTATTGTAAGAAGGTGGTGAAGGTAAGGATGAAGGCACACCTATTTGGATCATATAAAAAAGTCGCAAATTGTGCCAAGGTGCTGATACCTTGAGGGAGGACATGAATTAGTCAATAATGTGAAAGCAACCGAGATAGAAACAGTTTGATGATAGAATTGAAGTTGGCTCATACTATGCAAGTGAGCGAAGTGGTCAGGATTCATCTTCCTCACTGCAACCCATGTCCTCTAGGGGTGTAAGGGGCTCTATGGACCAATACATGGCAAACACAATAGATGATAGATAAGAAGACATGCCTTCTACATCATAGATGTTGACCTCAAAGAATGCTAGGGAGGCATAGATACTAGTTCATGTATATATGGAGATTTTTTTTTGAGAATTCTATCACATTTAATATTGCAATCTCCCTTTTTTACTATGTTTGATCCTTTCAATTGGAGCCTATAGGCGAAGGTTTACCCATGTATAATTTGACAACATGGATTTTGAAGGAGTTGGCAAACATTAAGAAAAGCTTTAAGAAAATTAAGAGAATTTGGAGCCATATAGAAGTTACTATCATGTCTAATGGATAACAAGATATAAAGAACAAAAGCTCGATAAATTTATTGATCAATAACTCTTATGGCACATTATTTTTAAAGACCGTTGATGTATTTGATCATAAAAAGATGCTAAGTGTCTTTTTTGAATGATTGGTGGTGTTACTGAGGAGATTAGAGATTCGGGTGGTAATAATTAATGCCAGTGCTTATAAGACTGCAAGGGCCAAATTTATGAAGAAGTGAAAATATTTTTATTGGACTTCTTATGCTGCACATTATATTGACCTAATCCTTAAAAAAATTGGAGACTGGTTACAACATAAGAATGCACTAACAAAACTTAAACAAATAAGTATATATATATATATATATATATATATAAATTTGAAAAATTAGGCGGGATTTTTAAACCTTAAGCGGGATTTTTAAAACTTAGATAAAATTTAAAAAATATATATGAAATGTTTAACATTTAAATAAAAATTAGGTGACTATTATTATTTTTTTATATTTATATTTAATAAATAAAATAAATTTACTTTAAAAAATATAAATATTTATTCAAGCCGACTCGCGAGCTCACGAGCCGAGCCGGCTCAAGTTCGAGCTCGAGCTCGTTTACTAAACGAGCTCGAACTCGAGCTCAAGCTCGACTCGCGAGCTCGATAAGCTTGGCTCGCGAGCCCATAAACGGGTCGAGCTCGAGCCAGCTCGGCTCACTTACACCCCTAATGCGAGATAGCCTTTTGAGGTTATGTTCAACTTTTTGTTGTGTTGACCTCCATATCACTGCCAAAAGAAACAAAAAAAAAAGATTAAAATAATATCTGCTCAAATATTTTGCCAGATATCCCTGTACAACTACCAAATCTGCTGCTCAAGTCCTACATTTATTATGGTCAAATCCTGTTAAAAAACCTGCCAAACTAGCTGCCCATCTCTCTTATTTACTGCAAACGGCTGCCCATACCCAAAACCTGATCAAATCTTGCTGCCCCAGCATCTAAGTCTTGTCAGCCAATAAAAAAAAATATAAAAGAGGGGATGAAAAATCTATTTTATTCCCAACCCCTCATACACTTTCACCTCTACATCCTCCTTCCTTTCACATGAACACCTCCCAGCAACACCTATTTTGCACCCTTCCAGCTTGAGTTTAGAAGGATGAATAGAGATAGGACTTTTGAATCCTATGTTTGGGATGAAACTACTTGTTGCTTTTGGTTCAACAAGTAGGTTTATTTGGAACATGATTGATTCACTCAATATAGATTAAGTGAAAGAGTTTCATACAACTTTTGAGTTGTAGAAAGGAGGGAATTTATCTACAATTTTTTGTTTGTAAAGAAGAAAGAGGGGATAGAATGCAACTTGTGAGTTGGAAAGTTATGGATGTTCCTTTGAGTATTGGGTATTCAAAGGAAGGAAGTGGTCTACCCAGCTTGTGTTGGGTAAATAGGAGAAGGTGATATGCAGAGCTGGACTACAAGCCACCATGGATTCTCTTTGAGCTTTTAGATGCCCAAAGAGAGAAATTCACTCTTCCAAATTGAGTTGGAGGGATGAAAAGGGGATACTTTCTATAATCTTTGAGTTGTAGGAGATTGAACTTCTCTACAATTTTGATTTGTGGCGAAGAAGGTAGAAAATGCAACATATACGTTGCAAGTTCACGAATATTTATTGAACATTTGTTGTTCAAGGGTAGACATACATTCTCCTAATTTTGTCTTAGGAGGATGAGATGATTTCCTACAACTTTTGAGTTGTAGAAAGGGAGAATTGAAGTGCAACTTGTAGGTTGCAAGTTTGGGGAATTCCTTTGAGCATTTGGTGTTCAAAGAAAGACACACACATTCATTTATTTTAAGCTAGGTGAATGAAGAGATTTTCTACATTTTTTGTTTGATAGGAGAAGGAAAGAATGTGCAACTTAAAGGTTACACATTCATGAGTGTCCTTGAACATTTGGTGTTCAAAGGGGGATAATCATTCTCCTAAATTTGAGCTTAGGAGAATGAGAGGGCTTTCTACAACTTTTGAGTTGTAGAAGAGAGAAGCAACAAGCAACTTTTGAATTGCATGTTGAAAGGGGTTCCTTGAACATTTGGTGTCCAAAGAGGGATATACATTTTCCTAATTTTGAGTCTTAGGAGAATGAGATAGTTTCCTACAACTTTTGGGTTGTAGAAAGGGAGGATGGTGTGCAATTTATGGGTAGCAAGTCATCAATGTCCTTGAAAATTTGGTGTTTAAAGGTGGATAACCATTCTCCTAAATTTGGTCTTAGGAGAATGAGAGGGCTTTCTATAACTCTTAAGTTGTAAATGAGAGAAGCAACAAGCAAGCTTTTGATTGCATATTGAAAGGGATTCCTTGGACATTGGGTGTCCAAGGAGGAGTATTCATTTGCCTAAATAGTGGCTAAGAAAATGAGATGAAAGAACTCAATGTTTGATCTCACGTTCAAGAGCTTACAATCTCATGCATGGGAAGATTGGTGGTAACTTATAAGGCAAGTTAAAAGTCATGCAATGATATATTTGAAATCTTGAGGAGGTTCCAATCAATATGCATGAAAGGGATGATGATTGTTTGTTGACTTTGTCTCAACAAACAAATGATGGATGACTTAAAATTCATTTCTAAGGTCCAACAACCATGTAATGATATTGGTTGGAGACTTTGGAGGCTCCAAATTATCATACATGAAAAAATATATATTAGTTTTATGTTCCAACAATAAGAGATAAAGGAACCTAGAGTTTGGCTCTAAGTTGGAAAGATTCGTATAGTGATATATTTAGAGGCTTGAGGATTCATGGAATGACATTACTTTGAACCTTTTGACATTTCAAAATATCACACACATGGAGGAAGGATAGTTTTAACTTATTGATTTTGTACCAACAAGCAAGAAAAGATGAACTTAGGATTTTCATCCTAAAGTTATAAGGGTTATGCAATGGAGCGTTTGGGGCTTTGATGAAGTTCCAAACACCATTTGTGAAGGAGGCAGTCGTTTGTTGATTTTGTCTCAACAAACAAGAGAGGATACACGTAGTAGTTTGGTCCTAAGGTTATAAAACTCATGCAATCTAATACTTGGAGCTTTGGGAACGCTTTAACTATCATGCATGAAGAAGATATAGAGGTGAACGTTTGTTGATTTTTTTTTTTCAACAAACAAGGTCAAATAAACCTAGAATTTTCATCTTAGATTACATGATTCCTGGGATGATTTTGTTTGTAACCCTTGAAGGATTCGAATCATCATACATGTCGGAAGACAAATGTTTATTTGCTAGTTTTGTGTTCTATCAAATAAAATGAAGAAACCTTAGAATTTGATTATAAGTTGAGGGACTCATGTAGTAATACATTTGAAGGCTTGAAGAACCTCAAATCATCGTGCATGAGAGGATGTTTGTTGGTTTTGGGGTTCCAACAAGAGATGTAAGAAAACTTGGATTTTGATTCCAAATTTCTAAAGCTTACAACAT